TAATCCCCGCAAAGTTCATACTGCAATTTTACTACACATGACTCGCGTATTGCTTTTACAAACGAGCTTGAGAATGTCAAATGTGTCAAATTTATAATTTATATGCAAATTGTCACCCTACGCGACCTTAATTATATCTCGCGCTAAGCTTAAAATCAATTCATTCAGTAAAAATCTCAAAGTGACTCAAAGTCAAGTAATTAGAGTTCAAATCCGAAAGATGTCATTAATAACTGCCTGAATAACAAACCGGCACTTTTCAACTTCCCCGCCATTCAAATTTTCTTTTTTACAGTTGTTTTATGTGTACGTATGGCTATACGCGTTAAAGTACGATGTAAAGTATGATGAACAAATCTGTTCACAATAGCTCAATATGCCAAGTTCCATTGCATTATGACAATGTTAACTTAGTTTTTGAAGGGAGTAAAAAATGAAAGAGGGTAAAAACCGAACAACAAAATTTCAACATATAGGTGAAGCGGAGCTTTGCACCACTTGCGAAACAAAATAATATTGAAAAAATATGAGATGTCGAAAAAAAAAGAAAATTAATTTAAAAAACTAGGTGAATTAAAACTTTTGTATTTTTCGATGAAATATAAGTATGGTACCAGCTAGAGCTGGATGTACGTGTTTGATGTTTTTTGAATTTGTTATACTGATGCGGGATGAAATGCATAATTTCAGTAAGTAGACTTTTCCCAAAAACATGACATTTTTTATTAACCAGCAAAGAATCGCCTTTTCTGCCAGACACATTTGCGCAATCGGTTTTTTCGACTGAAACTTTCATTCATCTCAGATTTGATAGGATAGTTTTCAAGAAAATTAAAAAAAATTCTGAAAGACGGTCAAAAGTTCAAAACTTTGACATTTTTGAAAGCTATAGCTTTTTTCTATAATAAATTGGGCGTAGCCAACTATAAAGGTAAGTTTTCAGCAACCTGATGCTTTGATTAAACCCATGACATCAGGTTTGGCAGGATAGTTATCGAGAAAAGTCAAAAAATTTTTTCAATATTTGGTCAACAAATCATAAATTGACTTTTACGAGAATCATAAATTTTGTGTAAAAATATGCGTCGTCGAGGAAAACAAAAATTATCATAATATCAGTATGTGCTCAAAATAGTTTCCTATAACCCTGCAAAATTTACAAAGCAAAAATAAAGCGGACAAAACTTGACCAGACAAACGAAAGCCTCAAAATTCAATTTTTACAGAAAAAAAATCAAACTCATACATGCTGAAAAAAGCAAACTCCTGCCGGGACTCGAGTCCCAAACCCTAAGGTGACAAAAAGACATTGTTAACTCCAGGTCAAAAAGGAAAAACCTGGAAATTGTCAAGGCTCAATAAAAAATAAGTCCATTTCTTGTACGAAAAGTTGTTTAAGGGAAAAAGTCTAGTTCCTGATTAAAAAACATTTTGCTCTCACAAATGTGAGAAAGGAAAAAAGAGTACCAGAATTCAAGTGACCCAGCGCATGAAAGGAATCAAAATATGTTTTAAATAAAGATTATTTAGTCAAAAGTTGAAAAATATTAGCGTTTGTTCGATATAAGAATATTTCAGCAGTAAGTAACTTTTGTTGCATAGATCATTGTATCAACCATTGCATCAAGATGTTTTTCTGCAGACAAATTTCGACTTTATAACTAACAATTTTTGAAGTAAATTTTTATGCAGTCCGCAAAATGTTGATGGCTTGTGCTGAAAATTAGAAAGTCATTTCACCTGCCAGGAATTTTTAAAAACTTATGGGGTTAAAAATTGCTAATCTGGACAACTTGAAAGAATTGATTCCCACAAACTTTTTGATTTTGATTTAACGGATAATGTTGAAGGCACGTTAATCCGTCTCAACAATCATTTCAATATGAATGGCAGCTAGCTGTTTGTCTCAAATGTTGCGTTAAATTACATTTTGTATTTGAAATTGTGTGCAAATTGTTTTTTTAGAGCTTATATCAGACGACACGTTGAATGACAGCAGGAACATTTAGATTTACTTCATGTTTAACAATCATAGATATAATTTGACCGGCTGATTCCCAATCATTTTCATTTAGCAATTCATTGAGCCTTGATAAGAAAGGCAACTCGGGGAACCAGATTTTAGGTGATATAAAACACGAATTGTCGCTTCTCCTCCTATTTTTTGATCGAAACAATAGTACTGCTTATAATAACTTTCCTTACTTTTCGACCACTCTTGAACCCTACCCAACTACGACAACCTCGAGAAAACCTGTAGAACGTCAAATTTTATATCGTTTTAACGCCTTATAGGTCTTAAGCCTGATTCTACGAAACAGGACTCAAAAACGTTTTTGTATTAGGAAAAACGTGTTCTCGGTTTTTTTTCCAATTTTTAGACTATATTAGAAGAAGTTTATTGCGAGGCTGATCTCTCAATTTTATTTTTACTGGGATCTCAATTTTTTTCTAATTTTTTTTAAAAAAATTATAGTTACCCCATCTTTCTCAGTTTTTCTAAACCAAATTCAATTGTAATTCTAGAAGTAAAAAAACTAGCAGGAAGTTTTTTAGACAACAAAACATGCGAAATTATATAAATATTTTTTTGACGAATAAGAAATTTTTTTTTTAATTTTCTGTTCTTGAATTATTTTGGCAACCGGCTTTCTTTGTTTAGATTTTGTTAAAACTTAAATTTTTATTGAACTGCTTCAAATTTTAACTTTTTTCCTGATAATTTTAAGCTCTGCAATTTTGCATGTTTTTTATTAATAAGTAAAACTTCATGCGATAAACCTTAACAGGCAAAAATTGGTAAAAGCAAAATTAGTAGCAAATGATTTTCTGAAGCCGGCGAAAAATGAATGAGAAACAATGTCTAACTTGTTTAGTCCGTCTGTTTCTAGTATGATACTTCAATATAATACTTATCGGTTTTTAATGATCTTATCGCCAAAATTTAAATTTGAAGTTTTCAGTCAAATGTTTTAGCCACGACATATCCAGGACGTATCAACAACTGGCAAGTATAAAAATGAATTGAGCTAATTTTGCATAATGGCTAAAATGTCTGAGGGAACAGCGCAAGAAGTATGCAGAATGTTTTAAGTATGGTGTTGTTCCAACTTTGTAGAACTTTTGTGCGGCCTTGCGCGAGCCGAAAAAGATATATTTTAACTTTGCGCGACACATGTTGTTACCTTGAGCGACTCATGTTGCTACTTTGTGGGACCCATTTGGCAATCTTACGCGACCCATGTTTCGACTTTGCACGACCTATGGTAAGATTTTGTGCGACCCATTTTAAGCTATATTTCGACTTTGCGCGGCCCATGTTGCAACTTTGTTCGATTCAAGCCTCTTGTGGGCGTACGGAATTTTGTTCGCAGAAAAAATAACTTTTCGGAGACCCAATTTCGTCTCAAAATGAGTCGCGGACCTCGACCTGGGTGTTTCTTTATCTTATAAACAATATCTGTTCATAACAACTAGTTGGTTCGCCATCCAAATTTTCGGTAGTTTTAGTTACTAGTGAAGTAATTTTTGCAAAATTGATTTTCAAATAAAGTTTCTAGATTTTCTAACGCGTATAATCAGTTGGCTCAAAAACAATTTTAATTGAAACAAGACTGCTCGTATCAAGGCAAAGCCCTCAATGGTCTAACTGCCCTTAAATTGGTCTCGAATAGTTTTTGGTAAAATAAATTTTGGCAAATTTAAGAACTTAAGGCTGATAATATTAAAATTTAAGTGTTACAATTTGAATCGTGAATGAAATTTTAAAAACCAATTAGCTGTCTCAATTCAATTTGGATCCCAATTATGTAGTGCAGGATGAATTATATTCGCCTCGATGAATTATAAAACGAACAATTTTCTACAGTGGTGTGCACACAGAGCTGAGCCCATGAAGAGCAACAGATTGATCTTTAGAAAGTCGGATCAACGGTGCAATCTGATTAACTCGGATATATTGCGTAACTAAAATCCCAAATGGTATTTTTGCACATGGCCTTGCATTGCATATAAAGAGATTTTTTTTTTAAAAACTTCAAAAGTGGCTTTTTGATTTAAAAAAATAATATAAAATCTTTTTTCGCCAAAATCTACATCAGGTACTTTAGAGGAGCGTTAGAAAATTCCCTGATAGGAGCAATTTTGGCCATATACAAAATGTAATTATGTTTTTAAACAACTTTTTGAACCAGTTGACAAATCTGTTCAAATACATACGATAGAGTGCATACTGTGAGCTGGCACTGATTTACTACAGATTACTTGTAGATTCAATAGGAGTAAGTGTCGTAACTATTAATTGTTACGAGATCTCCCCATCCGCCCGGCATCTCTAAAATACTTTCAATTACCTAAATCAAATCGAATCAAACAGCTGTCAGCTTTATTTTAACATAAACCAAATTACAATTTCTAGTTTTATTGAAAAAACAAGTTCAATAATTTTGTTAAACAAAAAAAGCGTAACAGGGCTAGCAATGTGCGACTGAAAAAATGTTACTGCCTTATTTTTTTAATTAAGACTTCAAGGTATTCAATAAACAAGTAGGAAACAAAATTATGAAAATATTGAAACAGCCTCGATTACCAAATTAGAAAAGATGGAAAAATTTTTGATTAGAAATTACAATGTAAAATCAGACCATGATACAATTTGTTCATCTTGTTTTCCTTCTTCTATTTTAATCTAACATTAAATAAAAATAAATTCGAGATTTTTTTCAAATAATGTGAAAAGCCAGAGCCAGTAACGATGGCTAAAGATAGGAGGGGTTTGTTCTCTTGGCATAAATCAAATGCTCGAAAACCTTGACGGGACCTTTACCAATCAGCGGCCTTTAAGCTGTTCAGAACTCGCTTCTTCGAAAATATAAAAACGAGCTCTGAATAGCTAACATAATTTCATAATTTTCAGGCGTTCGAACCTTGTGGCATAAAATATTTGATTAAAGAAGAAGGAAACCATTCGATCGGAAGCTCCGATTTATGACCTCACTGACCTTGATCTAGTTGATTCATCTCGTACTGGCTCTCTATGGCGCTGCAACAGCCGAGGTTCCTCTCGTCCCTGTTGGTGTTGCAGTCGTAGGTCCCGTCACACGCCCAGAAGGAGAAGCCACACTCCCCGTTTCCACAGTCGAACATCTGCTCCTCCTCCCGACATTCTTGGTACTCCTGGTACATCAGCTCTGAAAAAAAACCAAAAAAAAATTTCGAAAAAAATTTGTTTGAATTTTTTTTATCTTCTAACTTTCTTGAAAAACTACAAAAACCGGTCAATTAACGAATTGACAACCGCTCAAAATTCAATCCGATCTTTTTTTAATTTTCAGATTTTTTTTAAACGGCTTTTGAGAGTTTGTTTTTCAAAAAAAAAACGTGCGCAAATCTTTGACTTCAGATCAGTGAAACTTTTTCATGCTACTCGATTGTTTTTTTTTTTCACGTCCTTTTAAACGCTAAACCTAGTTCATATTTCATGAAATATGATACATATTTGAAAACTGAACTTCACAATTACCCACTTCCTGTAATGGTGGTAAAAGCTAATTTTTGCTACTCCCTCTAATTTGGTTCATAATCCCTCCCTTTTCTTTATACATAAGCTCTGCTCTGCTTCACAAATAATCACAATTATTACCATAACCAGCCATCCGTAATGAGAAAAAATTGAGTCGCCTTTTTTAAGCATCAGAAACTAATGAGCTATTTGTAGCCCGAGGTGACAAGAAGCCTAAGTCATCCCATGTCAGTACTGATCAAGTACAATAGGTCGAGATAGGGATTTTGGGGTCAAAGTTTAAAAGGAAATTATTATAAATTTTGACAACTTAGACTCAACTTACGATGTATTTTCTCTGAACAAGATAATTATATTTTCCTTCATTGAAATTTCAAGGTCTTTTGAGTTACAATTGAGCATAAATACAGATTTGAGCATAAATTGCAAGTTTGTGTGACTAGATTTTCGCTCATTTTTAAAAAACTGAACTTTTTTCCTAGAAAATATTTAACATGCGAACTCGATGACTTGGCGTATTTATCGCAGGCAAAACATCGAAGAAAATGGCAGTTTGCCGCAATTAGAAAAAGAGACATAGTTTGTTGCCAGGCAAATTAATCAGCATTCGTTATTAGTAGTTTCGTTGAACATTCCATATCGAGTCTCACGCCCACTTGGGCGTGGTCGTTTTGCTTGATTGCTCTAAGACTTGAACAAAAGATGGAGTATTTTGGTCTTGTGATTTTTTTGAGACAACTTTTTAGCCACTTTTGAACCGACGTTTTTTTATATTATGTGAAAGTTCAAAGCTCAAATTTGGAAAGATTTTTGACCTATGAGCATTTGTTGTTAGATTCTTGAGGTTTACAAATTTGGCTCATTTTTGATTATAACTAATGCTAGTTTTGCTTAAATTTCGTTTATGAGTAAAAAATACAAAATCGAAAATACAATCTTCATAAAAGTTTCGAAACTATAGCGAAACTCTGTGAACACGACTACTTTTGAAACACTAAAAAATTTTCCTACTTGGGAACCCATATAATCAATAAAAAAATTTTGAAAAATGTTGCGTCCAAAGTTGCGTCAAAAGTTCAGTCTAAAAACTGAATGAACTAAATCAGCTTGACAACATTGAAAGTTGTTGAAAAAAAATTGGCTTCTAATCAGCATTTTAATTTACACAAACTTAAAACTAGATTTTGTTTCAATAATTTGATTAGTTTTTGACGTTTTTGACTTGATGAAAATTTTTAAAAATTTCGTCAACTGCTCAAAAATTTTGTAGTTTACAACATAAAAAGTTTTTTTTTTGAAAATCTTTCATGGCACTTTTTTAAACAAAAATAAACCTGTTTGAGTGAACTGGAAATTTCTGTTATAAAGAATGTTGATTGAGTAAGTTTTTTTAACATAAATCAAAAAATATATGAAAAGAGATCAAATCAATTGCTCAATTGGAGCAGATTAATGTAAAATATATTGAATGAGTTTTGAGTCTAAGTTGAAATGTTTTTGTGCAGACCAAAAGCGGCACTTAAATGATTATGAACTAATTCAAAGCCGACAATTACACTTGAAAACCCAACCTGAAAATTTGCTGAGAAATTTTGAATATTTATGTGTTTCTGCTGACTCAGACTCATGTACTAATGAAAAGTCCGATGAACTTGCGTGTTATATTATATATAGAACATTTTTCAGTTATGAATTGAGCTGCAATAAAAAAAATCGGACTTACTGTTATTATCCCGCTTCTTAGTTTACAACTTTCTCTAATTTCAAAACTAAGTCTAATTTTACTAGTCAGCGCAATTAAAGCAAAAAACATATAGATTTCATATTAAGCTAAAGCTATCTGTAAAAACTTGGCAATAGTTTTTTTTTCTCCTGAATGTAGGTATCAAAAGCCCTTAATCATTGGTGTGCTTTTTATTGCAATTCTTTTTTTCCCGACAAAATAAATTTGAAAAAGATGAACAAACAAAAAAATATGGAAAAAAAAACAATTCAAAAATTTTTTCGAGAAGAAAACTTCTTTTTTTGGTCCACCTCTGTAGAATTTCTACTTCAAAAGACTATTATTGTGCCAATTTTTATTGCCCGTTAAAATAGTACTTAATTTTGAAAATACAACTAGGCCGGATTAAGTCGCCGTTCACTAGTAAATAGAAAGCTGGAAACATAGCGAGCATTAATAAAGCAAAATTCGCCGCATCTAAAACTTTTGTTATTTTTTATTCTGAATACTGAAATTTCTCTCTAAAAAACGGAACACATGGAGCAAAATAACTTTCTCCAAAAATAGAGCGCAAAAATTTTAAAGAATCAAAAATATAAGTTTTCTTATAATTTTTTATGGCTATAACTTTTTTTAAAAAAATCAACCTGTTTGAGTGATCTCAAAATATCTGTTATAAAAAGGCTGTTTGCTTAATTTTTCTTAAAACCAAAATAAAATTTTATACAATTTCATTTTAATTTCTCTGATTCTTTATTTGCAAGCCGATGTTATTCCTTGTCATGAAAATTTTTCATTCGTTTGCCTTGGACAAGTTAGTGGAGAAATTATAATTGATGCGCCCGGATATCATTTGTTGAACACATGATTCAATCACGATTTTTTTGGGTATCCACCTTATAAGAGTTTTTTGTGCTTACTGTACCGAACAATGAAAATGGGAGGAGTTTTGGATTCGGTTGTGTTCTAGTTTATTTTTCTGAGCAACATCAGTTACCGTAAGAAATCATCGGAATGGATCAAATGATAAATTTTATTAGAGCATGTGCAGTAGTGATTCGAACGAAATTTAAAAATTTTTCAAAAATTGTCTCGGTATTGAGAAAAAGTGGTATTAAATTTTTGAGATTCAGTCTAATTTCGAGCAAATAAAACGAGCGAGCGAGCAGGCTTACATAAGCTTATTTTTAAGTTTGAGTCGTAAAAATTTAGTTTTACTTGAGCTACGTTAGTACTTGAAGATTTTCATTTTTCAAAGCTCCTTTCATTTTTCAATAAAACTGTTGTCCAAATTGCTTATTTACTGTGACTGTTGAATAAATTTAAGTTTTACTTTTTAGTTCAGACCCTTTCGTCATACTAAGCAGAATAAAAAAACAACACTTTTTTGAAAAAAAAATCTTAAGACTTTGGTCGGAACATTCTATGCTACTTGGACAGTTACCGTCTGTCTTTGCTTGGATTGCCATTGTTCGCAATATGTTGTAAACTATCTAAGTGAGTTATTTCATTTTTCAGGCTAGGAAACTTTTATCATAACTAACATTGTGTAAGTTTAATTAATTTCTTTTTTTCATAAAAGACGCTAAAACTAATTTCTTAGGAGTTTTAGCTACTCCGCCATCTCTCTTAAGGGTAGGCAGTGTTAGGACCAAGTCAGGTTAGCAAAAGAAGAAAAAAAAAACTGAAACATTCGAGGAACACAACCATCAGCAAATAAGATTTTCAAATAATATCAAGCAGCCAAGAAGCAGGGAAATTGTGGGAAGATGCCCATTGAGTCGAACAAAACTGCCCTAAGAAACTGATGTTCTAAAGTTTTCTGAGAGACTAAGTTTTGAAATTTTGAATTTGAACCGCAACCGACCTGAAATATATTTGAAAGCAATTATCATTTTTAGCCGTTCAAGGGATAAAAATATTCAATCAGCCAATAAAGCTTAAACTGTTACAATTTTATTTGGAGAAAACTTAATTTTATTAAAACTAGAGTTGGTAATCCGAAAAAAAAAGGACAAGCTACGAAGAACCAGAATAGTTTAGACAAGAAAGTCCTTGCTTTTTAAATATTGCGGAACAAAAAATAAGCTGACAAAAGAAGGATTGATACTTAATTTTTTCCGGGAAGACAATTCAATTTTTAACAAATTGAAAAAAACAAAGTCCTAACCCTAAACCTCTGGGAGCAAAGACAATCGCGTTACCTCTGGACTAAGTGGGAGGAAACCTGGAAGTTGTTAATGCTCAATATGTAAGCAAATTTAACATGCAAAAACTTAAATACTGCTAGCAAAAGAGTATATGGAAAAAAGTACGGAAATCAAACCTGATAAATGTTTTCATTAAGTTACAATTTTGTAAAAAAAAAATGATGTTAAAAATTCTATTAAAAACTACTTTCAATATTTTCAAAAGTTTTATACTTTTTTCGCAAATGATCTTCAAAAACACTCTTAATAAGATTTGGTAATCGTCTACCGAGCGGTAATTAAGCAAAAAAACTTAGGCGGCTTTCGTTAAGTCGAAAACAAACTGTCGAGATCTAAATTTTTGAAACTAAAAATATGTACGACTCTTCACAGGAAAAAAGTCTTGAAAACTTGGAAAAAAATGTGTGAAAGTGATCAACCTTTTTCGCAAAAAAGCTGAAAAATCTTGAGCTTTCTATTTTTATTAGAATCGTTTTGTTCATTAACAAATTTTTAGTATCACATAAAGTAAAATAATAATTTTGAAAGTGGACAATGCTGGAAATGTAAATTTTTTAGAGTTTTTTTAATGGAGTAGCATGTTTTATGGTTAACTATTACATGTGTAACTGGTTTATATGATTGGTTCATCAATTTTCTAAATTTCCTTATTCTGCTGTAACTGCGAAAATTGTGAAAATGAGGCAAACACGAGTTGTGGTCTATTCAAGGTAACAAATCTAAATAGGTTTATTTTTTTTGTGAGAAAATCGCAGGTTATTTTTTAAAAGCATATTAGAACGAAAGTGTTTTTTTAATAATAATTCTGAAAATAATTTTGAAAATGTGTATGTTTTAATACATGTATGTGTATGCGTTTTATGTGTGAGTACATGTATGCGTTTTTCTCTATAATACATTTTCAGAGTTATTAGCTTAGTCCAACAGAAACCACATAGGATATCAATCAAATCTGGAATCATAGATCGCTCACCGATGGCCGACTGGAATATCATTCCGTTGAGGTTGACCAGGTTTCCGTTGTCTATTTTGACCTTGGAGAACTTGTTCAGGTTGCAGACGGTCACAGCCGGCCACGTGACGTTCTTCCGGGTTCGAACTGTTAGTTTTGTGTTCACGGGGAAGCTAAATCAATTATTTGTAATTAATTGTAATTCAGAAGGTTTATCCACAAGGGAAAGGACCCAGCATAAGAACTGCTCAGCTCTTTACGGAGCAAGGCTGTGGTGACCCTGGTTAAGAACTACATGCATTTTTCGGTTATTTTTCAGGGCTGGGTAATGTTGCCTCAAGCTCAAGCAACCAGCACGGCGCAACAAGGAGAAAATATGAAAAAATCTCGTAAAAAAGCATCAATTTAGAAGAAAAACTGGAATAACTGAATTATAGACTTTCCTTTTTCCCTTTTTTCGTAAAACTTTCCTTTTTTCAAGAAGGGCTCGTTCATTTTAGAAGGGCTCGTTTTTTGCATGTTGCGCCATGAAGTTTGGCACAAATTAGTGTACGTTTTCAAATGTATATTCATATTGGAGCATTTATAGCAAAAAAACAATTATAGCTCAAAAAAATCAATAAGTAAACAAACGGAAAACAAACCTGAAAAAACGTGCGCATAAGTATCCAGTTTGTACGATGAAGCTGAGAAAGCAGACGACAAAGATGACGACCCAGAACACTCTTCGGAACAGACTGGGTCCCCTGGCTGCTCTGGGTATCCCGTGGGCGGTGGACTGAAGCAGGAGGGGTTTGAGTGTATCCGGCAGTGACGTCATCGCTTCACCTCCTTCACTCTAAGACCAAAAAACAGACTTCTAGGGGATAGGGGAGGTTGTGAAGTGAAAAGAGTTTGGTCATTCTCTTTTTGAACAGGTTGGGGGTTGAGGGGTCGCGGAAGTAAGAGGGGGGGGGGGGGGGGGCGGAGTTTGTAATATTTATACTCTTCAGCTTAGATGATGTTAAGATGTTACCTCCCATCATCAAATAATAAAGTTTGAGTTTCTAAATTAATCAAAAACCAAAAATTTCAGCCATAAAATTAAACAAAAGTGACCATACAGGGCGACTTGTGGTTTTCTTATATGCACCCTGGTCGTCCTTTCTCTCGCGAATAGATAAAATATTCCAATTCATTTCGCTCTATTTGAAAAAAAAACATAAAATAGTCTTACGAATTATTTTTAATTTTTTCATCGTTTGAAAAGTTATACGGCTAAAATTGGAATTAAAGATGAAATTTTTTTTGGAGTTAGCTTGCTGGTCGAAATTTCTGCGCCATGATCCAAATAAATTCTAGGGCCGATTTAATCTTTTTCTTGTTGTAGATTGAAAATCAGTGTATATTTTCCACGGTAAAATGAAGGAAGTTAACATGTGCAAAAAGGGGCAAAAACTGTATCGGCTATTTTTGTCTGAAATAGGCGCACGGTAAAAAAAATTTCAGTGACCTGCGTAAAAAATTTACAGAAAAATGTTTTCCTTTCTTATGTGTTGAAATAAACGCACAGTTAAAATTCTCAAATTTGCTCGCGTGTCGATTATTAAACTTGCCTTTCGTTTCGGCCGCAGGACAGATTCTTCCGAGTGTGCTCTCGATAGTTTCCGGCGATCCGAGTGCTCTCTGCTTCGGGTTCCGCAGTCGCTAGGAGTGTTGCTGTAGAAATTCATGGCACAGAAGTTTCTAGAAAAAGTAAGCAAATAATACGTCGGCATAGTCCATTGTGTTGATTAGCATAGCTCTTCCGAGCAAAAACCCTGAGCTCAACGAGAATTTTACCTCTAAATGTAAATTTCGACAAATGTACAGTTAGACGAAAGTTAATATGGGCAAATATGCTATCTGCAAATTTTTTACTGCCAATTTTTATTTGCACATAAATAAATAACTGCAAGCTTTCATATGCAAATTATCATTATAGTCATCCTTGGGATAAATGGAACTAGTTAGCTTGGTTTAATTCAGTTTGAATAATCCAGATATTAATCCAGAAATTTGACCAAATGGACCAAGTGCAAACCGCCAGAACTGATCATTGAAACTAATTAAGTGTAAAATTATAATTTTTGTCATTGTTGATTTCAGGACAGCAATATCTTCAAAGGGGCAAAAAGTTGCCGTTGATTTGCACGTCGAAACTGATGTGAATATAAAAACTACCCTTGAAAAGTATATTGGACTTTTTCCTCCAAAAGTTGAAGCAAAAAAATTGCCCCCCTTTTTTGCTGACTTTTTTGAACCTCGCCCAAATCTGGATATATCAGAAATATCAGAAAAATGACAACGCAGGGCAATTTGAGTACAACAGAAATATCAGAAAAATCAAGAAATATCAGAAATATCAGAAAAATCAAGAAATATCAGAAAATGAACAATCACAAAAACCTAAAAAGTCACAATGTTTGAGAAATCTAACATTTCCGCAGAGCTTAGAATTAAATTTATTCATTGTATTTAGTAAAATGATGAAAATGTTTCTTGAGAAAATTAATTAAGTCGGCTTTCGAAGAAACTGGACTTATAAATTGATTTCCTAGCTAACCATTTTTGACGTTAATACAGTGAGAAAAAATTTTGATGTCCAAATTTTGAGCTCAAGTTTGATCGGTGTTTGCACTATTGTGCTGGTTTAAAAACGAAAACGGAATTTTTTTAAAAATTTTTTATTATAGAGTTTTTCACCAAAATGTACTTCAGACACGGAACTCACAATGTACTTACAAGGAACTCGCAACTTTCACGGCTGAAAATTAAAAGGATCAGTCTTGTTTGCTTCCCTAACCAGTAAAAAGACTATGCTGAAATTTTAAGTATTCTAACTTCAGCTGACGGGTCTTCTTAACAATCTCCCCCCTTCTATTGTATCTACTAAAGAATCTCCACCCCTATGAACAAATACAGTAAATTAGCAATAGAGTTTGCATTGAGAATTAGAATGTTGCTGCATTCTGATTGGTCGAAAAATCGACCATTTTTATCTACTTAACAATCTCCCCCCCTTTCTTGAAAGGGGGATTGTTAAGTAGATTCCAACTGACAACTAAGCTCAAAAAGAAGTAACAACCATTATCCACCCAAAAACGCACACAAACAACACACAAACTTTTGGGTATTTTTGTTGAGCCCCAACTCAAATGTTTGAGGCAAGTTTGTACCCGGAATTTTATTTTGTTTCAACTATTCCTTTCACTTCGTTCTAGATTGATCTAAGTCACCCTCAAGCTCTTATAAGACTGATCTTCTGGTCTGCAAGTATCTTACAACCCAAGTTTTTTTTTCAAGTTTTTATATTTTGAGGAGCTGATTTAGAAACCTCAAAATCAACATCCCACGCCAATATATAACTCAAAATTTTCTATGTAAGCTTGCGTATTATTTGAATTTTTAGTATTTTTGTAAAAGTCGTTCCGAAATGTAAAAACCGCAGACTAATTTTGGAATCTTCTTTGTTATATTTCTCACAGCAACCGCGGCTAATGTTATTACTAACAAAGTTTTCTTTAATTTGTGAGTCATTTCTTCAGTTTTTTTATCGGTTTAAAGTTAACACTGCGCCATTTTGAGATAACATGACCAAATTGGATACCCATTGAATATCCTTAACTTAACTTGATGCCGGTTTTTATTATGCTGCCCAGAAAAAGTCATTTTTCATCCAAAAACTGTAACAGATGCTTGAAATTTATCCAGCTGTAAAAATAAAATAAAATGGCAAAATCGACTTCGACAATTTACAGTCCGCACTGGTAAACGTAGAGTTAACAAAACGATCAGATAAAGTGATTTTGTTTTGTCCCAGAAATTGGACGTGATTTTCTAACGTGATTTTCCCGGAAATTGAACGTGATTTTCTAAAATTTGTTGAAAAATGGTACATTTAAAAAAAAATGTCAAAAGAGTAATTCTTCAGCAGAATTTCAGAGAATGATTTCAATTTTTTTAAAAGTGTACCCTGCACGCTAACGGGATTTTCAAAAATGTGATGGCAATATTTTTACCTCCAGTTAAAACCTTAATTGACTGAACATCGTGTTTGATAAAAAAATGCTTGAAAAAAACTTTCAACTATCTGTGCTAAAAGGGGTCAGTAGCACTCTCAGATGGGATAGGAGTGTTGTGAATCTGTAACATCAGGTCAGGAAGAATGTTCTTAGGTAGAATGTAGATTTTTTTGAAATTGAAACGAGTGATAATTTGTCTTAAAGTATTTTGGTATTTGAGTTGCTATCTGTGAAAAAAAACATGGTACCTGAAATACATCTGAAATTCGTTCACACGTTCCTATTCCTGGTAACACTTTGCTCAAAATGCCTTCTCGAATTCTCCCAAGAAAATTTTTCACCGTTTCTCCTTTTTATCAGCTGTCCATGGGATTTTGATTCGTTTCACAACAACGACTCGTTCTTTAGGTATGTTGTGGCTTTGTTTTTTAATTTAGATGTCCTTGAACACCATGTCACTGTTTTTTTGACAAAACTAATATGCCCAACTGCTTGCACAACAAAGAACCTCAGAAAAAGTTCTCCCTTGGAAGATTGGGGGTGAGTTTTTGTCTGTAACAATTTCGGTTTCTCTGAGCTTGCTTTTCCCAAGAACGCAGTCAGAGAAGCCATCTCTTTCTCAAATTTTTAACATTCAACGAAGTGTTATCCAGCATTTTATTTGGTCTGCTCTGATATCTTTGTTGTGGATCGGTACAAAGCAAAAAAATTGTCATGAAAACTTTTTGAGATCAATTTGAATTACAATTTGCCTTAAAAATAGTCGATAAATGAAATTGTTAACAGTGAAAAGTTACAGAAAATGAAAACGTCCTATGAATCAGGGGCGGATCTAGGATTTTCTCGAGGAGGAGGGGGGGGGGGGTGTGTGCGGATTTTCAAAAAAAAAATCTAACATTTTTTTGACCATTTTTGTTAGGTCGACCAATTTGATTCCCAAGCTCTCCCAAAGTACTAGGAAGACCCTTGTTTGGCCATATTTTCAGCGCCGCAGGCAAAAATTTGAAAAAATAGGTAAAAAAGCGTTTTTAGGCACTTTTTGAAAATGTTTGACCAAAAATCGCGTTTTTTCGGAACGCGCTCCTCCCTCAAAATTAGTATAAATTGGCGCCGAAGGCACTTTTAGAACAATTTTAGGGTCCGTCATCGAAAATGGATGTCTCAAAATAATACAAAGGGGGGACCCTTTGGGTTGGCAGGGGGTCGATTCCTTAAATTGAATGTTTCAGGGCTGTCTAAACGGAAACAACTACAAATATTAGAGACTCAGCATTCGATAGCTGAATCATTTTATCTCAATTTTTTTGATCATATAAGATTTTGTGTTTTTGTTCTAATTTTCAACTAAATATTTTGGCTCTGATGAGTTCTCAAGTCATTCCAGGAGAGGGATGTTTTTAATTCTAGATGCCAAAAATTCTTGAGGGTTGTCTCTCTGGTCATAGTTTGAAACATCGACATTTCTGACCAAATCAACCTATAATTGATAATTTTTCACAAATTTGGCGTAGTCCACACAAAGCGCCAATTTTAACAGAAGCATGCGACGAACAAAAAAGAAAAAAATTTTTTTTAGGCAAAACGCTCTTCTCAGAAACGCTCTTTTTTGATAAGAATGAGTTGGAAAACTTCCTAATCACAGAAATCCCAGTGCTTTGGTAGAGCTTGATCAAAAGTATCATCGTTCCTGCAAAAGAGGGAAAAAAGATCAACCAAATTTTTCACTCCCCTTCATCCATCAAAAAATTTATTCGCGTGCCGATCAGAACAGTGTTTTTATGAGTCTGATTGATTTTGCTTTCAGCAATGATAAAATGAGCGTCAAAAATGTGAAAAGTCTAGTTTCGTGTAAGAAAAATCAAAGGAAAAGGTGTCGGAAATTTATTTCAACCATATATTAGAATTTGCAAAAGGCATTAATAGTAAGCAGGGTTAAGGCTGAGTTTCAAAAAGTTTCCGATACTTTGTCTATTTTTTTTAAAGTCGAACTAGTTACCGTAAAACTTGGTAAAACCCAATTTTCAACAATATTTTGACGCCGCAGATCATTAAAAACAGGGACAAAATGGCGTTTTAAGGGGCAATTTTCCGAGTATAACTTGACGTCCAAATCTTTTTAAGACAAGTTTTAGGGTGGAAGCGAAAAAAAATCGGAAGGCCTGGGGGGTCTCCGTGTGAAAACTTCCAAAACTTACAAAGTTCAAAACTTACAAAGAGCTGTTCGTCATCATTGTGGAAGTGCTGATTTCATTGATTTAGTAAACCAAGGCATAAAAAGGTTAGCAAGGTAAAACTATAAAGAAAGAATAGAGTATACTTCGTTTATTATATTGTAGCTTATTTGATCACATATATTTGTCAGTCGAAGTAAAAAATTATATATTCCTCAATTTTCTCCGCCGCCTTTCCTTCTATGTCCGTTATTGTCGTGGAAGCGCTCGCCCAATAAATAAAATAGAGATTTATAAATGAAAAAAAAGAATTACATCACCTCAGCTTATTCTGAATTCAACTGGCGGTAACGGTCTTTCCTTTTTAATTTCCATCAGATAAAAGTTCAAAACAAGTGAAAATAATGGGAAGGGCTAAAGGAAAATTTATAAAAATACAGAAAAAATATGCCACCCAATTACCCCCGTGTTGATGCGTTGATAGGCTTAGAGATACAGAAAGATTAGATTA